GGAGGGGTAGAAGGCCGAGGGCGGGGAGGAGGAGGGTGAGGGCCGAGAGTGACAGTTTTGATCTCGGGATTCGTAATGGAGGGAGTGAACGGAGTTATTGACTGCAAAGGGGGCTGATCCCTCGGTTGGAAGTTGGAATTAAAAGCAGGAGCAGGGTATTGTGGGAGAAAGCCTGCATAGATTTTTCGTGCTCAGTATAAAACATGATGCCGAGGGAGAGTTAGCGGTTTTGAACGCATCATCAAGAAAAAAACCCGGTACCATGATTTAAGCGGCTGGCACGTAGAAGATGAGTTCATGTTGTGAACATTGATCTGAGCCGGGTCTTTGTCGTTGCCTTGCTGCAGTGGTTTTGTCAGTTTTACTGAATTGATCGGCCTCTCCGTTTTGGCACTACGATTGTGAGGTAAAAAAAGTCTGGCTGTTGAGTGGGAAGGGTGGCGAAATACGAAAAGGCTTGATACAGTAGTGGAGAAATGGGTTCTTGCTAGAGGACGGAAGTAAGAGCACGAGGTTTCTGAAAATATTTTTCATGTTTGTTTATAATAATGCTGTCTTGTTGGCCAAGCCATAAAGAATAGCTGGTTTGTTCGAGAGCGCATTGCATGACAGGAACGGTTATTCAATAATAAATTCGGAACGGCGCTGGGCGTATGATAAAAGTATTGTTTGTAACAAGAATTGAACCCTGTAAAACTGTGTTGTAGGCTGGTAAGTGCTGGATGTCTGTATTTATTAACTTGCGGAATTGTTTCGAAATGTGCATCGATGAATTAGGCGCATACGTAGTCTGAGAGGGCAGGTAAAGAGAGGCGTAACTTTGCCTCTTGAAGATCCAGCAACTTTCTACGCTGGTGGTTAGGTCGCTGTAGCTGGGGTGGAAAACAAATGTCGCATTTTTTTGGACGCATTGGAAAGGATAATTTTTGCGTTGACTTGATGAGCCTTTGATAAGTTAGGTGCATACTGAAACGATTTCACGATCTAGAAGAGTATGCGTTGCAGGGGTGTGTTGCATACACTCGAAACTTCGAGAGCTGGAATGTACTGAGAAGGCTTTGGCTAACTGGTGCAGTGAGTAAACAATATGAGGATTTGGCGTCTAGTTAATGAACGATAAACCACCGCAGAGAAGAGCAGGTGACCAGTTAGTGTTGTTTCGAAATGTGTGAGTGATCCTGAGGTAGACTGGCGCTAGGGCGTATTTGTGCCAGTTACTAAAATTCGGCTCGACTGGCGTCACACGATCTGAGAACTATTTTTATGCGTTTTTGCTTATGTGCAAATTGCAAAAACGCGTATTGTGTTTTTGT